CCAGCTACTGGGGAGGCTGAGGCAGAAGGATCGCTCGAGCCCAGGAGTTTGAGGTTGCTGTGAGCTAGGCTGACGCCACGGCACTCACTCTAGCCTGGACAACAAAGCAAGACTCTGTCTCAAAAAAAAAAAAAAAAAAAAAAAAAAAAAAAAATACCCCATTCAGGACAGTGGTTGTCTTTGGGGAAGGAGGAGGGCACTGGGATTGGATAGTGCTGCTATATCAGGCTCTTCACTGTGCCTACAGTATTTTATTTCTTTGATATATAATGTTTAATATGTTTAAAAAGAGAAACCGAAAATCAAAAATCCTGTAAGAATCCTCCGTATATTTATGGAAAAATGTGCAAGTTTTATACAGGCCACTTTTGTAAATCTTAGGAAAATGTACCCCCTCCCTTCAGAAAACGTGATGCCACAGAGGCATGGCTTAGATGCTACATTAGTAAACATGTATCTCTTCTTCCAGGTGGACACAGCCCCACATCAGGGCTGTGACTTGGAGAGCAGAATGCCCCTCTCAGCCAGGGGTCAGTCTAAACAGGACGTAACTAATGCAACCATCTGTAGCAGCCCTGACTCTGTAGTCAAACAAATGCTTTCCTCCCTCTTGCATCTCAGAGTCAGACTGAAGTCTTGTTCCTCGTGCCTAAGGCAAACCCTCCAGCTGGGCTGAGTTCATCTCCTCCACAATCCCTCTCTCCTTATTCCCTTATTCCTGCAGCTTCAGCCTCACTTCCCTTCTAGCCCTTCTCCCAGCCTTTGACCTGTGTTTCTACTTGCTGCTACTCCATGTCTCCCTGTGGTCTGGCTTCCTCTTCTACTGTGCCACTGAGATGACTGTCACATACACAGCCATCAAGGCCCTCCTAACTCATAATGGCAGAAAAACCACTCTGCAGTTCTCACTTCACTTGATCTTTGCAGTATTTGACATCTTCCCTATAGAAACTCCTCTTGTGGCTTCTGTGACATTATTCTCTCCTGGATTTTCTCCCTTTGGCTGCTGGGACCTTTGTCTATTTTACAGGCTCTTGTTCCACCACACTGCCTGTGAATGTTATTGTTCTTTCCTTACCCAGGTTTTCTTCTCACTCTTTTTGATTCAAGTAGCTTCAACATTCATTTAACAAAAATTTATTGAACAGCTACTCCATGCCAGGGTCTTTTCTCAGTTCTAGGGATAGAGCAGTGAAAAGTTCCTGCCCTCGTGGAGCTTAGGCTATAGTGATGGGGAACAGCAATAATTTAAAAATCAGATCTGGGCCAGGCGCGGTGGCTCACGCCTGTAATCCTAGCATTCTGGGAGGCCAAGGTGGGGGTCTGGGGGTGTGGGGGGTGTGGGGGGGTGTGGGGGGGTGTGGGGGGATTGCTCAAGGTCAGGAGTTCAAGACCAGCATGAGCAAGAGCAACACCCCATCTCTACTATAAATAGAAAGAAATTAATTGGCCAACTAATACATATAGAAAAAATTAGCCGGGCATGGTAGCACATGCCTGTAATCCCAGCTACTTGGGAGGCTGAGGCAGGAGGATCACTTGAGCCCAGGAGATTGAGGTTGCTATGAGCTAGGTTGACACCATGGCACTCTAGCCCAGGCAACAGAGTGAGACTCTGTCTAAAAAAAATAAAAAATTAAAAAAATTAAAATCAGATCTGTAATAGTTCTGTGGTTATAAGTGCTATGGGGAAGATTAAAGGGGAGCAAGGAGAGCAGTAGTGCAAAAGGAGGGTATGGATTTATTTTATAGCAAATGGTCAGGAAAGTCTCATTGAAGTTGACTCTAGCGCTGAGACCTGGAGGGAGTAAGAATTGTAAACCATGTAGATATCTGGTGGAAGATCATTTCGTGCAGAGGAAACAAAAGTGCAAAGACTCTGAGGTAGGAGTGTTCCTGTTTGGATATGTTGAGTTTGAAATGCCTATTATGCATTCAAGTGGAACTATCAAGGCAGTTGGGAAAATTAAGTGTATAGTGTCTATTAAGGTCAACATGGAGATGTAAAGTGGGTACTTGAATTTGTTCAACAAATATTTATTGAGCACCTGGAATTCCATCTCTGTTAATAGCAGAGTAGTTCGTATTGGATTAACCCTTCCACAAATGACAATCATGAAAATTAAAATTACAAAAATGACCTAAAGGCATTAAAGAGTGACCAAACTAGAAACTAGAGAAGAGTTGACACTGGATGAGTTTCCTGGTTCAGTTTGTTTTTTAATGAATTTTTGCCTGAGGGCACGTCCCAGTCAGCTCCAAGCTAGGGTAGTTAGAATTTCGAGAGAAATCCAGAATTTTGATTAATTGATTTGAGGAATTAGAAGTCAGAGCTTGAGGCTATCACAGCTATCACAACTGGAAAATGGTTGTGATGGTGGGTATCATAGAAAGGAGAGAACCACAGAAGAGAAGCCCCAAATTCTGGGTATAAACTTTCCCCAAATCTTTCGCTGACCTCTGAATTATACACATGTGGGGCAGATGTCAAGAAGCCTAGTTAATGATAAAATAACTGAGCAGAATTTTTAATGTCTTACCACCATAGAGGAGAAAAAGTTTAGAGTTTTAGTCTAGTTAACTGGTTAGTAAAACAAAAAGTTAAAAACTTTGCAGAGGAACATAATAGAAACCAGTGTCTACAATGTATCATTCATAACGTGTAGGTCACAATTCAAAATTACTGTACAATCAGAAAAAATGTGACCCATATTCAAGAGAAAAGAAAATCAATACAGATTGAACCTAAAATGATACAAAAATTGGAATTAGATTATAATTATTTTAAACTAGCTATTGTAATTCTGCCCAAGGAAAATATGATCATAATGAATAAACAGAGAGGAAACTTCAGCAGAGAAAGAAAAATTACAAAAAGGAACTCAAAGAAAATTCTCGAGGTAAAAAATACAATATCTAAAATTAACAATTCACTCAATGAGGTTAACAGAAGATTGGAGATGGCAGATGAAAGTCAGTGAACTAGAAAAAAGTCAATAGTAATGATCAGAACTGGAGATAAGAGAGAAAAAAGATTGAAGAAAAATTAATACAGCCTCATTGACCTCTGGGTAAATATCAAAAATACTAACATAGATATAATTGTAATCCCTAATGAAGAGAAAATAACACAGAAATTTTTTTAGAAAAAAAGTAGCTTAAATTTTTCCAAATTTGGTGAAAGACATAAAATTACAGATTGAAGAATCTTAGTAAACTCCAAGCAGGATAAATACAAAGAAAACCATACCTAGACACATTTTATTCAAACTGCTAAAAGCAAAAGAAGCCACAGACACTTCACACACATATCCAAAATGGAATTTATCCTCTTCCCTCCAAAGTTGCTCCTCCTCTTATATATCTTTTTTCAAGGAAAATGATGCCACCTGCCACATTGTCCTACAAGAGGGAAGCCAGAGATCCCTCTGAAATCATTCTTCTCCTTTCTTTCCTACCTCAGTGGGGCACTGACTCCATCTCTTATACCATCATGTAGCTCAAACCCCTGTCCTCTCACCCAGCTGCTGTGTTAGGTCAGTTCCCGCTCATTTATAGCCTGGGAGCCTCCTAGACCATCATCCCGCTCTCTTCTCGTTCAGCTGCCAGAATGGTTAGTTTAAGCCCAATTCGTGTCACTTCCCAATTTAAACTCTTCCAGTGGTTTTCTATCCCTTTGGAATTAAAGATTCTGCACCTTAGCATAACCTAAAAAGGTCCCTCCAGATCGAGGGCCTTCCAACATGTCCAGCCTGAGTTAAACTAAATTATTTGCAGGTTTCCAAGGTATTACACCTCTATGGCTTTGCTAATATTGGTCTTTTTTGTGGAAGATTCTTCTTCTCTTGTTTTCTGGCTAATTTGCACTCATCCTTTCATTCTCAACCCAAGCATTACCTCCTCTTGGAAAACCTCCCTGGCCCCTTTCCCCAGGTGGAAGTGGATGTCCCCTGCACTCCTGCCTTGTGGTGCTGTGGTGTCCTGTGCATACTTACCTCTATTATATTAATATCTGATGTTCCACTGTACTCTCATCACTGATTTTCCTTTGGGATCAGATCTTATTCATCTGTAGATCTCCAGAAATATTAGGTGCAAGTATTAGGTACTCAGTGTTTGTTGAATGAGCAAATACCTGAGTGAAACAGAGTTTGAGTTGATTATCCATATGGAGCCTCTCCATTTCTTAGCCACCAAGTTCTTCTTTTGCCATAATAAACCTTCTCCAAATAAAAATATCTTGGTGAGAAAATCAGAAAAGAACCTGAGGCAAAGGCCCAAGGGGAAGAACTTTATATAGTGCTTAGGTTAAGAGGACCCAACAGCAGTAAGGCAGCTGGGCTTATTTTCCCTCCAAGAGGTTGAGTTGGACTAAATGATTCACCTCCCTAACCTAGTATGATCATTAGGGCATGAGTAGACCAACAGCTAGCTTAAACCAGTGGAGTGATCTTTGTCAGTGAAACTGTTTTTGCCCTCCTCACAACTATAGGCGATAGACTACCCTGCTTTGCTTTTTATACCACTTTTTTTTTTTTTTTTTTTTTTTTTTTTTTGAGAGAGTCTCGCTTTCTTGCCTAGGTTAGAGTGAGTGCCATGGCGTCAGCCTAGCTCACAGCAACCTCAGACTCCTGGGCTTAAGCAATCCTACTGCCTCAGCCTCCCGAGTTGCTGGGACTACAGGCACGAGCCACCATGCCCGGCTAATTTATATATATATATATTAGTTGGCCAATTAATTTCTTTCTATTTTTTATAGTAGAGACGGGGTCTCGCTCAGGCTGGTTTTGAACTCCTGACCTTGAGCAATCCGCCCGCCTCGGCCTCCCAGAGTGCTAGGATTACAAGCGTGAGCCACCGCGCCCGGCCTTTATACCACTTTTTGTGGAATGTTACTCATGCCCACCATTCACATCTCTAGAGTTCTTAAGCAACTCATTTGCCAAAACAAAGCCTGAATTTCTCCAAAATAATTGTCTTTTGTTTGCAATCATTTTCAGCTCATCAGCATCACTGATTTCAGGTCTACCCTGAAGAGAAGACTACAAAAATGATTGAGTTGAGACTACAAAAATGATTCTCACTGAACTTAGAGATCAGCTCAAACCTGGAAAGATGGGACCAGCAGAAATCGCCAGTTCTCACAGCCAGTGTATGTAAGTCACCTTTAACTTTGCAGGGAGGCCTCTGCCACGTCACCCCCACATCAGCTGCCCTCTTGCACGTTCCTGCTCAGGCTTCTGCTCCGAGGCTGGTTGAGCACAGGGGTGGAGACTGGGCAAGCCAGCTCTTGCCTCTGCCCTCACTGGCTTATGCTAGTCCTCTCCTCTGTGGCCTGGTGTTTTGCTTTGTATCTTTCTTTCTATCTTTTCTTTTTTTTCTGTTGTCTCCATAACACTTCTCTTATAAAGGTTACATGATGACCCCTACTTGAAAGATATGCACAAATTTTATTTCCATTGCTGCAGCTAATTACTGCACCAGTGCTCTCTGTAGGTGCCTCTCTTGACTAGCCCAGAGTTCTCAACCTGAATCCACTTAATAGATCACATAGGCAAGCCCTCTTGAAACTTGGGAGAGGCAATATTCCCCCAGTGTCCAGCCCAATCCATACATTGAATGTCTGTTGCCAACTCTCTTTCTCTGAGAAACTTCTTTAGCATCAGGTAGAACCCATCAGAGTTCACTAAAAAGCAATTTAGAAGCAGAAGAAATAGCACCAACGAGGCAAACCAAATACGGAAAACAAGTTGTCAAGAATAGTGAGTAATGATAGAGTTCAAAAAAATCAATACCTATCCACATATTTCTATGCATGGGGTGTATCCATCAAAGGGAGTGGGTGACATTTGTCCCAGCCCAGCTGAGCAAGCCAATGCCAGGTGACTCACTTTCTATGCTATCTGCAAACCACCAAGCCTTTGCCTGGTTGTTACCAGACTTGCTAAAGGAAGCTCTATTCTGAATCTGTCACTAATTGAATCTTTAAATGTAATCCAATTGCCGGCCAATTTACAAACTTCCTCCATATTCTCTAGGTTGTTTCCAATCTTTCTCCTCATCACTTTTGCAGCCTGGCTGGATTTCATCAGGTTTATCTTTGTTTGCTTTGAAGAAGAATTGAAATGCCTCCTTCTCTAAGAAGATGATTGCGTATCCCTTGCACAGCTTGGGTAGAGCACAGAGGTGATCTCACAGGGTTTTTCCACCCGGTGTATCTGATTTTAAAAACATAAATATGTGAAAGCCCCAATGTTGCCTCTTAAAATCCCCTTTGTGCTCAAAGAGGAAGCTTGGTGAATAGTTTCGGCAAAGTATCAGGAATATCAGATAGCACTGATTCACCAACTTCTGGAAACGAACCTTAGTTTCTCCAGTCATCAGTTCGTGATGAGAAAACTTCTCTTTCCCGGGAACTAACACGGTAACAGCCAGACTTCAGCCCCTCCTCCAACAAAGGCCACGCATGAATTTGGCAAGCGTTCCACCTTTCTCCACCCGGCTCGCGCTGTGCCCTTCTGGCTGTGTGGCTGCCCCTGGCTCCCCACTCAAGTCTTATTTGTCTTTGGGGGTCCCACTGTCTCCTAGTAACTTCTCTTCCCCCAAATTCTTGCCTGTGGGGAGCATTTTCCCCCCTTGAAACCCTCTGGCTTGTATGTCAACATCTCTTAACCTTGACAGCGTTGACATTTACTGTAGAATTTCCAGGGCAGGGACTGTGCTGAATACTTCTTTTTTTTTTTTTTTTCAAAAAAATGTTCCTCTTTATTTAAACATAAAACACATTTACAGCATGCAGGTTAACTTATATGGTGTCTTCCCAAACCCAGTATCTCTGAATGTGTCTTCAAGCACTGAAAATAAACCAACATATTCCACAAGTAGACTCAGACTCTCTTCTGTAACCTCATGTCAAATGAGTTGAATTAAGCACAAGTTATGCATAGTAGTTTTCTTAAGTTAGGCAAATAATTTAATTGATCACCATGAATAAATATTATTCTCTTATTTCATTGAGTTTCTCTTCTGAACCATTTATCAATACCATTCTGTGCTGAATACTTCTTTGCACACCTGTAGGATGGCGCTGCTTGGCCCACAGCCCTGGTGTGCAGGGTAGGCTGAGCGTCACAGTCACCCATGGGCATTGAAGAACTGCAACTGTCCAGGCCCTGCCCCAGGCCTTTGAGATCAGAATTGCTGCTTAGGTGAATCGCTGCTTAGCTGACTTGCCCCTGGATGGAGAACCACTGCTCGAGCGTCATTGGAAGGATTAAATCAGTTCACACATGGCATTTGCCTTTCCTGACAAAGGCAAGTTGCTGTTTGGGGTGAATGCCATGGCCGCCCCGTGCCCCCACCCCAGCCCCTAGCTCCTACCCCCTCCTCAGGGGTTCTGTTCAGAGAGCCACCCCTTCTCCATACAGCCCCCTTTGCTTTAGGGGGTGCTGACCTCACCCTCAGTGTCAGGCGAGGGTCTGATTGGTCCGAGGCTAAATCTGTGATTCAGGAACGAATGTATGACCCAGTCTGGCCACAGAGACCCAAGAGGAGTGCTGTGATTTTCCAGTAAGGGTCTTACTCGCTTTTGCAGGAAGCTCCTCTGTCTCCTGTCATCATCCCCATTGTTACTGACAGCCACTCAATGATGTCTCTCTCTTCCTCCCCTCTCGTCCTTCCCCATAGGGAACAGGTCTTAGGATGATGCCGTGAAAAAACCTGGGTCCTTGATGGTGGATTGAGCAAACCTGAGCTGATCTCAATTTGGAATTCTACTTATGTGTGTTGGTAGATTGTTTAAGGCAGTTCTGTTTCTTCTGGCTGAAATGTTCCTCTGGCTACATTTGTTTTTAATTCCTTCTATCTCAAGTATCACATGACACAATGACCTTTTTAGTAAATGCTTCAATAAACATTTGTTGAATGGATGCATTCATAGTCCTTGAGTGCCCAGATATACTGAATACTGTAGATAAAGTAATAGCTAAACAAAACCCCTTTCCTCATGGATCTTATATTCTGGTGGGAATAAAACTGCACTTGTGGGTCAGGTTAGCAGCTGCTCTAGAGAAAGAAGCTTTATGTTTCTACTTATGCAAATAGAGAGGTTCAACCAACGTAAGTGCTTAGAATGGGAACACTTGTGCCAAAGGAGCACTGCTTAGGAATTCACCTGACCACCAGACTGACTTTCTGCAGTTTGAGAAAAAGGAAATAACAAGTGGGATCATGAAGAATACTTTGTCCCCACGTTTATGACTCAGAGGGAAAACTACAGGGCTCTCGCTCCCAGATCTCAGCCCCAGAGCATGAGACAAGTGATTGCAGAGGACCAAGTGGGGAGTAACAATCTGAAAGGGTTAGGAACACTTGATTTTAATAAATGAATGAATTGCAAGAAGGGGAAACTGATGACTTACTGAATGTTGATATCTGAGTGTGTGCAAGGTAATCACGAAAGGTAGCAATCAGCTCATCCTCTAGGTCTTCTGTCTGTGAAATCAGGAAAAATGAAGATTTTCCAGTGGCAGGCAGGCATGGTGGTTTAAGCCTGTAATGATCCCAGCACTTTGGGAGGCCGAGGCAAGAGGATTGCTTGAGCCCAGGAATGGAAGGCTGCAGTGAGCTATGATGGTGCCACTGCACTCCAGTCTGGGCGACAGAGGGAGACCCTGTCTCAAGAAAAAAAGAAGATTGTCCAGTGCCAGCTTAAATTGGAGAATAGCCTTTCTTAGAGACATTTTTGTGTAGGATAGGCTCTCTTTTAAGACTGCCTTAGATGTATTCTTTGCACAAATGATAGGATGATTCCATAACTTCTCTAGGGAGGTGAACACTAGAGTGGGTATATTCATCACGGGGGTTAAGGAAGGAGTCATTTGGCAGTGAAATGACTGCAATGAAGGCAGGCTTTGGGTAGCAACAGGTCTGGTGATTCCGCGGGGCTGGCCAGAGAGCAAATTCCAAGGAGTGAGATAGGAAGGGGGGTAGTCCAGCAAAATGAAGTATGGGGCCAAATCAGGAAGATTAATGATGTTGCCAGGCAAAGGTAAACCTCTAAACCTAGGGAGATGCTCAGGACCTTAAAGCCTGGACACAAGAGAAACAAGAGGTCAGGGCTTTGGCCTTAAGAGTCTGAGGTTGAGTCTTAGTAATAACATTCAGCACCAGATGACAGAAAGGAAACTAATAAAGGATGACCTCCAGAGTAGGAGGTGTCTGTCGTACAGGCTGTGTGAGATATTATACACAGTCAGTGCTGTGTAAATATTCAGTGGGTGAATAAGGTCACTAGGCTGGGCTGTGAGATGGCAGCAGTCAAGCCATTCTTCATCCTTAAGCTCTAAAATTACAGCAAAAGTTTCAGCAATATGCTTTAGTTCCCTGAAACAAATAGATAATTGGGATGAACTTTTTTCCTCCCCTAACTTGCATCTTTTAGCCTAGTGATAGATTGCAGTTTTCTTTAGGGGAACCACCCTCCTCTGCTCTTAAACCATGTGCTTCAGTTGAACCAACTCCCAACCACTCTGTCCCATCTAGGAGTGGGCGAGTGGCTTGGCTGGGCTAATTAGCATATTCCATCCCTCTAGACACAGTGATTGGTTGTGGGGGCCACCTGTTTCAAGTTGGTCCAGTAGAAGTTGAATCTGAGATTTTTGCTGGAACTCCTGGGAAGGGGCAGCTTTCTCTCTGATGCCTTCTAAATCATCCAAATAGTTTCCGCAGAGGAATGTTCAAGTTTAATGCAAAATTTGATGCAGGTTCGTTGCTCTACTCACTCATTTTGAATGCGATGGCCACACAGTACACATGCTCATTTAACGGTGTCTGGTGCCCCACTGACCAGTGCAGTGACGTCACCATTGTTCACACATGCACATTAGAGTCCACTCCCCTTGGCTGCCAGGTTACAGCGCTGTTGCTAACCTCATTATATGAACCATGGCTGGATACTTCCTGGACAGACCTTGAACAGTGCTTTCTATTGCCAGATACT